CGTGTTAATTCCAATGGGTTAACCCCACCTGGACAACAAAAATGAATGGAAAAAAAAAAAAAAACAACAGAAATCTTGAAAAGTTAAAAATTACTTAAAAATATATATGCATAAACAGATCTGAAATTTATAATCTTAACTCCTACCTGACACATACAACGTATACACTTTATTTAACTTCCCTTTATTGATTTCTCTACTTGACTCTTCTTTCTTGCAAAAAAGATTATTTCGCATAGTAAGATATGGCAAGGTTGGCTGGCTCCATAACGATTCCATTATGTTAATACAACCCTAATGATTATTGAACAATTTAAAACAATAAGGATACCACTTCACCATTAGAAAAACAAGAATTACAAAAGAATGTAGTGCTAGAAGTATATCAGGGTAAATTTCAAAACCAAGATCAGACTATTTCAATTAGGAATTTAGTCCTATCGAATTACACTACAGCTCAGACCACGTGATCACAATGATAATTTTAGGCTTTTAATATAAAAAACTAAGAGTAAAACCATTCAAGTCAATAAAATACAAAAACACTTATTCACTTCGGGTTTAGAACAGGAAAAAACAAAATAATAAAAGGGCAACCTACGAACTTTGAACAATGACAGAAACATAACCAAAGAGAAAAAGAAGTTACAACCCTCTTCCCTGCTGCAAAATATCCTTTTATTGCACAGGGCAATCATTTATAATGCAATTAGTGATGTAGTCTTTAGAGACTCTTAGAAACGCTTTTACTTCTTTCTCCTTTTCCTAATATTCTGACCTTAGGAAAGGAAAACTTACTGAGCTCATCACTGTAGCATGAAAGGCACTTACAGATCACCTATGGAATCTCTAATTCTATTGCCACTGCAGGTGGAGAAGGGCTCTGTATTTTTAAAATGGAGTCCCTACAATGATGCTCCCCTTCACTGTAAAATAAAACTCTACCGAATAGAGACGGCTCTTCTGCAACATTTTCAGCAATTGACAAAAGTACAAGCTTAGCAAACTTAGCTCATTATATTTTAATTAAAACTTTCTATTTACAAACATTACGCTCTATATAACATTTATATAATTTTGAAGACTTAACATACGATAACATTTTTGCAAAGCTAACCATTACCTCCAGTGTAGGGTTTCCAGTTATAATACTTTCCCCGGAAAGGCATATTGTCAAAATCTGCACATTGCTTTTCTCGAAAATCACGGGCCCCTGAAGGACATGGCTAAAATAATAAAGACAAAAAAAGGTTAACTTCTTCCAAATATCAACATAAAAGGAAATGCTTATATGCTTATCTTGCAAACACAATCATGCAAGAGAGTAGGATGTAGTTCCCTGCTTTATCTTGTGGCTCTGATTCTGAAACTTTCTTTATTGCTTTACACTTGAAGTGTCTATTTTGCAATCTTAGGCTGCCATGAAGTAACTGAAGTAATCTAAACAAAGGTAAGTGTTACACAGCAGTTCCCACAAAACTGGACAATCAGAATCACATCAAACTATGCTTCATAATCAATCCATCAGCTACCTCCTTATAAACACCCATTAAAAACAACTGAAAAGATTAAAACAAAATCTTTTTGGTACGAGCTGCAGGCTCAGTTATACTGTACTAAGGAGCTGTACTGAGACATGTTATTAAGGCATCAAGAAAAAAATTAACACACTTTCTAGAGGGCTGTATCACCTCTGAGTACTTGTAGCCTTGACAAAAGCATTGTGTTAAGGCTGAGAATAAGAATACATAACATATTTGGCTCTGATTTTTACCAGTCTCCAAGTGTGAAGAAATAAAAACTGCTCTCATTTAAATTTTCATTACTTTGCATTACCAATTACAAAACTGTAAAGTATCTTTTTCACTTGGAATAAGGGTAGATGTAAGTGAAATTCATCTTGGAAAGAATGACAGGAGAAACAGAATTCTTGGTTATTTCTCACATTTTTCATCAGCAGGTTCAAAACAATAATGACAACTAATCTTGAATAGACCCAGAATTTAGATAGCACATTAAACATTGTTGCCAATGTTTAAGTACCTGCTGAAATTGCAAGCTTCATCAGGCAAAGTATTTGAAATATAGACTAAAATAGTTTTTAGGCTGAAAAAGTATTTGTTTGAGAGAAATCAGTTGTGTTAATAAATATTACTATTTTATGAGCAATGAAAGAGTTCATTTTATGGCAGTTTTACTTGTCTTCTTATGTATCTAAGCCAGTTAGCATGTTCAGGAATCTGAAATGCATTCAAGTGAAAGGGTCTCTATAAACATGGACGATAAAAATTTACTGCATAATTCAAATATTAACATAATAATTATGATTCTCAGTATACATTAATCAAGCTCTTGTACCAGCCAGCCCATTGCAATATGATGCAGAAACTAGAAAATTTTTCTCCAATTTTGAAACCATTGAGATATAAATTAAAATAGTGGACATTAGACAGTATTTAAATTGTAAATTTTCTCTATAAATCACACTATTATCTCCTGCTAATTAAAAATACATTTTTGAATATAATACATTTACCAGTGGAAAAAAGTAGTACTTTCATTCAATAATCCTTCAGAAGATAACAGTGAGAATAAAAAATGACTATGTAAATAAAATAATAAGAATTTTTAAAAGGTTTTTAATAGTAACACAAATTAAATTTGCCTCTTTGCATCATATTCTCCAAGCAGTAAAAGGATCAGTCTTGACCCACCTGAAAAGCTTGAGTCTGAATCTCTCTGAGACTCGTCACTGCACCCTATTCTTCAGTCCCACTCACTTAGGTACTAATCTACATGGCTGGTATTTCAACTGCACCAAGTTCCCCTTACAAGTTAATTAAATCATGCTCCCTAATGAAATCCTTTTTCTAACTAGTTATACCAGGACAAAAGAATAAAATATGAAGACTAGTAAAGAAGGTTCAAGACTTCCATATTTATACTCTTAAAAATTCTTGCAATCTGATCTTTGAGATGTAGTCTTACTTCTCGTGTGTGATGGTGATCTTCAACATCACTTCATAAACTATCTGGATAATGGGGAAGAGTATATATACCCTCAAAAAGTTTGCCAACAGAACAGGGAGGAGTAGTTGATATGGCAGAAGGTTGTGCTGCCATCCAGAGGGACCTTGACAGGCTGGAAAAATGGGCCCACAGGAACCTCATGAAGTTCAACAAAAAGTGCCAACTCCTGCACCTGGGGAGGAACAACCTCATGCATGGGGCCACCGATTCAGTTCTTGCCACAGTTTAAACTGCTAAAATCACTGTTTGTATCCTCTTTTCTTCTTGAACACAGCTCTGGCAGTCTGACAGAAAACCTGCTACACACAAGTATGCGTAGCCTGCAATCTCACTGCTGACAAGAACAGTAGAAAAGGCTGAGAATACGTGGGAGCAGCTAAAGGAACTGTGGAAGCAAAGCCTCTCATACAATGTCCCTGCTTTCATGATATTTTATCTGGTTTTGGTACTCCTGCCGATTAAATCCTGGTTTTGTATACTGCAAGTACTGTTAAATTAATTTCAAAAACTAATATACCAATGGTATCAAAGCTTCTACATAACCCAGTGTCTTTGGCTCTAAAAATGCAAATCCATCAATCCACAGGCACATTTGGTGACCTTTGCAATAAAATAAGTTTCCATTTTAGTGGCTAAGTCCTCTCAGTGAATACTGACAGATGCTATCCCTCGTCTCAGGGTCTTGCTCTTTGTTCAAATCATTAGTTTGAATCCAGCTTTCAGGTGGATTCAGTAAAGTTTTCAGGCAGTCCTTCTGAAGACTGCAGTTACCTGAAATAGCCTGAAACCTGCAACATTCTGTAATCTGAAGCATAAAAAGCAACTTGTAAATTTGTTGTTGATGTTGTTGCATAATTTTCCTGTCTTTTTTAGTATCACACTAATACCTGAGAGGAAGTAAAATTTTTTCATACAGTTACAGTACATGGATAATTCTTGTTAAACAACAGGCTGCTTGTGTTTCCAAATGCTCTTTTAGGAAACTGCAAGTTGTAAGGTAGGAAGCCAACAAGTGTGTAAGAAGAAGGTCCTGAGAAGAAGATGATGAAATAATTAAAATTTTAAGTTTAAAAAAGCGATGACTTTAATAAGAACACAAAAAAATGTAAGACTGAAGCAAAAATAAATCTAACAAGTGTTAACAAATCATTCAACCAACATAGACAGGACGCCAAACATCTTATCTCACAGAAATCTGTTTATCTTGGAGGTTAAAGTTAGTTCAGTAATTGAACTCATTGTGTTTCCTATTAACAAAGGGCTATACTACACCTCACAGAAGATCAGAAACTCAGCCAGAAGGGTGACAGTTGAAACTCAGGTACTGTTCTAAGACATAGTTCCTCACAGGAATGCATTTTAGAAAAAATAGTCTTGAAAGTATTAAAATTATGAAAGCAATGAACAATATCTGTGACTGTATGTATAATGGAAGGAACCAATAAAAACCATTTGCCTACATTCTACTAAGAGAAAAGTCTGAAGAACAAGAATCTTTTAAAGGTATGTATACACACATACTTTTATATAGATAAACCATTCACAGGACTTGTAAGCAAAATGTGTTCCTTATATATATAAAAATTAGGAGGCTTTTACAGTTTTAGATGCATATCAAATTAAGCTTCACACCCTATACATATATTAAGTCAGACAATGAGTTACTTTAACTGAGTAATTAAGTGCTTTGCAATTCTATTAGCATAATTTTTTAAAGTTCAAAATACTTTGGTTGGAAAAACACATATATTTCTGTTAGGGATAGTGTGGTTGGTGGTAGAAAATAAGTTTCTGATGAGTATGTTCTTTCTACCACCCTTTTGTTTCCAGAACGCACTAGCTAATGTTCTTTTCTGCTGATCTCAATGTTTCCATTAGCAGATGCCTTCTGAATTAAGAAGTCATATATGGCTTTGGAAGTGTTTGATGAGAAATAAGCCTAGTAGGAGTGTGTGCACTGTTTCCAAAGAATTAAAATGGTCAAAAGAAAGGGCAACAGAACTAACTCATCTCTGAAAGAAAAATGAAGTCAAAATGAGGTTTTTTTGGTTTATGAATAGTAGGAGCTTTAGGGAGTGCTATGTTGAAAACTACAGATGGGTAATGAATGTTGACTCTGCAAAATAAACTTCAACAGAAAAGATGTACAAACAACACATTTTTCATAAAAACAATGACAGATTTGCATGCTTTTAACGCTTACATTAATCAAACATACCATTCCATTAAAAATGTCAAGCACTAAGGACTATCATAAATCTTGAAACAAAATCTACTAGTCTCAGCAATTCTTAGTTATGTGGAACCCTAAGTATTACTATAAAAGAAATAGACTACAATCATCAAAAGCATTAGCACAATAAATATACTTCTGTAAGTACCAACATGTTTATGCACAGGAAAACAACACCCAAAAAAAATATCCTAAAAAATTGATTCACAGTCAAGCTGTAAGAATGGCATTTCCAAATTGCCTGGCTTAAGTCTGCAATTGTTCAAGACTTGTTTTTAAGACCTAGACAATGAAATGCAAAGTTTGCTTTCCAATATCTTGTTTAAATTATTGACTGAAATCTAAGTGTAGGTAGGGAATGAACATTTTGGAATAGAGGACTATAATTTTAAAAGATTTTGATAAATTGGAGCAGTGGTTTGAAATAAAGCAATGGACGCAAATTACTACACTTGAGTAAGAACAATCAACTGTGCAAGCACAAGCTGAGGAATGACTTCCTAAACAGGAGCTCTTAAGAAAGGGATTTGGGCATTATGGATCAACATAGACTAAATAAATATTGTCAATCCTGTAAGAAAATGAACACAATACTGAAATGAATAAACGGAGTCCCATCACTAAGATGACACACTAAGGTCGAAGTTATACTTATCTCTGACAGGCCTCAGCTAGAATCTTGTGCAGAGGTTTGGGCACCATGCTTCAAGAAGATGTGCACTACTGGGATCCCAAAAACTATTAACACAGAGACTGTAAAAGATGGGAAAACATACACTATATTTTATGAAAACCGTCTTTATTGTAAGGATATTGAAGAATCGTAATGACATCTCCCAGACTGGAGGGAGGTATTTCAAAACAGGTCAGCTGCCTAACCATCAGTTAAGAACAGTTTATTGACAGTCGATTTTGCCATTGCGTCAGGGAATAGCCTGAATGGCCTCCTCAGATACCTTCTAGGTGTTCCTTCTGTGATCCTATAAGCTTCCTCTGAGTAATAAACAAATAAAGAGAGAACAAGGGAAGCAAAACCAACTAAGAATAAAACCGTCTGAAAAGTGTCTGACAATAAGAAATAACATGATAAGAATAAAACAAATCCTAGCAACATTTCAACGGTACAATAGGTAGTTATGATACTATTGTTAATAATAAAAAAGCATTAAAAATGATGTATATTTGTGAGGGAGCAGGATTATATATTCTGTAAACTTTATTGTATACTAGCTACTGTGGCAGATGCTAAATAATATCTATTGGAGATAAACATTTCAAATAAGAATGCCTGGACAATTACCTCACAAGAGTCCTCAGAGAGTTAAGGGAAGAGGGCTCCAGTGTGCCAATGTGAATTTTTTAACAAGTGTTAGACTCTGTGTACAAACTGAAACAGTGCTAATGTAAAAATGTTACAAACTGAAACAGTGCTAATCTAACAAGGTCCTTATTTGAAAAGGAGAAATAGAATATTCTAGGTTACAGTTAGCCTGATATCAACCCCAGATAAACAGAAAAGTTGACAGACTTGACTGATACAAGTTTAAAAGAAATAAAAATAATAACACAAATCAGTATTTTGTATAAGAATAGGTTTTATCAACTAAAACTTTTTACAGTTCCTGGTTAAATTAAAAGGATAATGGAATATGCTTAGATTTTGATAAGGCAGTTAACTTAGTAGTACACAACATCCTGACTGGAAAAAAAAAACAGAAACAAACCTGTACTAGTTCAGTAAAGCACACATTAAATTTATTAAATATTGACTGACAGATTTCAAGAGATAGATTTCAATAAGGAATCATCACTTGGTGAATTCGTAGGTGAATTTCCTATCAACTGTAAGAATAAGAAACACACTCAGTGTTACTCAACACTTTCGTCTGTGAATTGAAACTATGAAAAAATTTCTTGCTTATGAAGTCTTCCAATTACAAAAAGACCATCTGAGTGAAAATGAAGAGGAAGGTAAATTAATTACAACAGATAATCTGATAAGCTGGATCCATTAAAATGAAAATTGCACAAAGACAGCCAAGCGCAAAGATAAAAATAAAAAAAAAAAAAAAGATGGTCAAAGTTTCAGAATGCTGCACTGTAATTGGGAAGGTTGTATGACTGAAAAGTTTTACAGCTCCTACTGGACAAGCAGCTCAGCTTCAGTTTCTATTTCAACACTGTGACCAAAAGGCCTAACACACTTCTTGGCTGTGTGAACAGAGCAGCTGTGATTAGCCATAGGAAAGTAATTTTTAATTTGGAAATCTGTAGCACTGTCTAATAATGAGAATAACCTCCACAGAGAAGTTTGCAGAACTAATACTTGTGATAATTAGCAACAATAACGAAAACAAGTTTTTTTCAAGGAATCCGCATATTAACTATTGTATTTGTTCCTGAAATATATCAAAAGATAAACAGGTGAAACAACAATCTGGGTTTACTGTTACGAACTTTCTTGGTTTAAGAAGAAAAGTAAGATGAATTTAAGCTAAAATAATATGAAATCCTGTTTATGTTTATAGTGCTACTGACCTGGAAACTTACTAGTGAACTTCTTTATCGGTGTGTACTTTTTTTGCAGGCCTTAATGCAAAGGCACCAGCTGAGCATCACATTGAGACAAGGAACCTAACATTTAGCAGAATACGTAGGGTGCCTGCAATATAGAAGTGCCCTACAGGACTGTTTGCCAATAAAATGCAGAATTCACAGCTTTTCTGAACTGGGAAAAAATGCATCCATTGCTGCTAAAATGTGAAACAGACAATTTGACTATGCTTCTACAGTGGAACAAAATTTACTTACATCAGTATTACAGGAGCGATACCGCTTCCTTTCTCCAAGACAGTATTTGCCTCCACCTGAAGGCCTGGAAAAACATGTTTTATGTATTAGTATATGTATTATTACAAACACAAGTTCATGAGATATACTAATGCATTATTAGTATAAATACAAGTCCAAGATATATATATTATATAAAAAAAAATAAAAGCACATGGAAGTTTTATTGTGAGATTTTAAAATACTTTATTTAATAAGAATTGTAGCATTGACTTGAATTGAAGCAGATACAAAACAACACAGAGTACTTGAAAATCGTCACTCATATAGTATTCATCTAGTTTGCATGGATCCCAAGCAATACAGTTTAATTGGATTTTGAACATACTAAAAATGCATTGTTTTTAATTATTTGCTTGCTTTGTAAAATTAGAATGAGAAATGTGCAAACAACCTATTCGATACTTTTTTTTTTATCTTCTCATATTACACTTGAAAACAAAACAAAATGAAGAAACACTGCCTGCTA